GGAGAAACAGGTTATAGTGGGCCCATCTCACCAGGCCAATGCAGCTTTACAATTGGCCATGCAGGGTGTAGAGTTCAATAGAAGCAGGATGGCACCCACCTGTAGACTGCCCAAGAGGAGAGCCCCTACAAAGATGTAATAGCAGATGTCCCTTCAGCCTTCACCCTGGTGCTACACAAGTCAGTCTTTTCCTATGTCTCTGTACCTCTTGAGCTGTTGACCCTCTGTTGGAGCCAAGGGTGAGTGTCTATGAGTGAGTGAGTCTATGCACTGGCCCCTTAAGGGGAGGTTGTCTGAGTTTTCAAGTTCCTTTTGTCTCATCCAGGTGTCCAGAATCCCTAGTAATTTTTACAGTTAGATTTTGTTGGAAGTCCTCTTCCCAAGACTGGGACCCTGGGCTGGGAGCCCCTGTGTGTGGCAAGGGCCCCCTCATTACTTCAGGGTGGCCTCTGCAACCTCTCTCTCGCAATTCTCAGCTGCCATGCATGGATACAGGACCAGCCTGCTTTGTGTCTCCACCCCTCCTCCCGGTCTCAATGTGGCTTTTTCTTTATATGTGTTGTGATCAGCTAGACTTCAGGTTGTTCTCTAATTTGTTTTATAATTTGGTTGTACCTTTAATGCAGTTACAGAAGTAGGTGAACTCTGATTTTACTTAGCCTGCAAATCTTGCCCTAAAACCTCGGTGTTTTTTTTTAAAGGCCCAGTGCATAGAATTACTTACTGTCAGACTCACTTGCTCTGAGCTCCTGCACTGGGGCAGACATATAGGGAGTGGGAGGAAACTTAATTGTCTGCCTTCAGGGCGGTCCAGCTTTCTCCCAGACAGAAGTGCGGGCAAAATACATTGTTCCTTTGTTGAGCCCTCTAGCTCCCCACTTACAGACACAGCTGGCTGCAATATCTGGGTCTCCTTCAACCTGGCTAACACTGTCCTGTTCAGGTGCTTTTCTGAAACCCTGCCCCACCCAAATTTCAGGCCCACCCAAGCAGTTCCAGTGGCTTTACCATACAAGCAGCCTGTCTTGGCTCATGCTGCAGGCTTTCCTAAAATCTCTCAAAGGTTCACAAAACCTAAACAAGCTGCATCTAACCTCGGCATGCCCTGTACTTCTTGCTGAGCAGCCCCAAGTACAGCACTAGTGGCAGCTGGCTTCGGTTCACAGCTTGGTCTCCTGAGGTACCTCTGGCTTCGGTTCACAGCTTGGTCTCTTGAGGTACCTCCAAGCCCAGTGTGGGTGGCACCCAGCTGCAGACTGGTGGCTTATGCCACGTGGCTCTGGGCAAGGTACAGGTCATGGCTGAAATTTGCCTGCCACGAAGCCCCTCCCAGGACGCCCTGGGGCTCGCGTGCCCAGTAGCAGGCTTTGGAATACATGAGGCCACATCCGAGGACAACACTGCCGACAAGCAGATTGAAAAGGCACCAGAGCCCTACTAAAGTGAATCCTGCTCTGTAGGGTCTGCCCCTGCACAACAGCTCCTTCACCGTAGGGATTGGCCAGTCCTCACAACCAATCAGCCTGAGCAGTTCCTCCCTTAGATGTACAAATAGCAATAAAGGCTTGACTACAACAGGAGAGCACACACAACCCATACAAGGCACACACCTGGAACACCCAGCTCAGGTTACCAGGGAGGTGACACCACTGGGTCTCACAAGACACCTACTACATCAAGCCACTCTACTAAGACCAGAAGACATAGCAACCCTACATAAACAAACATGGGGAGGCAGCCAAAATGGGGAGACAAAGAAATGTGTCCCAAATGAAAGAGCAGAATAAAAACAAAAAATAACTGGAGACAAGCAATCTACCAGATGAAGAGTTCAAAACACTGATTATAACGATACTCACTGAACTTAGGGGAAGGGTAGATGAACTCAGTGAAAACTAACAGGAAGAAAACAAAAATGGAGATAGAAATCATAAAAAAGAACCAGTCAGAAGTGAAGAATACAATAACTGAAATGAATAACATATTAGAGGGAATAAACAGTAGACTGGATGAAGCAGAGGATTCAATCAGCTATTTAAAAGATGAGACAGCAGAAAACACCCAAAGAGAACAGCGACAAGAAAAAAGAATTAAAAAAAAAAGAGGGTATTTTTAGGGGCCTCTGGGACATCAAGCATACCAATGTTTGAATCATAGGGTTCCCAGAAGGAGAAGTGAGAGAGCAAGGAATTGAAAATCTATTTGAAGAAATAATGACTGAAAACTTCCCTATCCTGGACATGGAAATAGATATATAAGCCCAGAAAGCACAAAGAGCCCACGCCAAGGCACATCATAATTAAAATGCCAAAGATTAAAGACAAAGAGAGAATCTTAAATGCATCAAGAGAGCTCCCAGAAGACTGTCAACTAATTTCTCAACAGAAACTGCAGGCCAGAAGGGATTGGCACGAAATGTTCAAAGTTATGAAAAACAATGACTTACGACGAAGATTACTCCACCCAGCAAAGCTACCATTTAGAATCGAAGTACAGATAGAGCTTCCCAGATGAGAAAAAGCTAAAGGAGTTCATAATCTCCAAACCAGTATTAAATGTTAGACTTCTTGAAGAATAAAGAAAGATAAAAAATATGAACAATAAAATGGCAATAACTACATACCTATCAATTACTTTAAATACAAATTGATTAAATGTTCTAATCAAAAGATACCTATGCTGCCTACAAAAACTCACTTCAGGTCAAAAGGTACACAAAGACTTAAAGGGGTAGAAAAAGATATTTCATGCAAATAGAGACAATTAAAAAGCTAAGGTAACAATACTAATACCAGACAAAATAAGCTTCAAAACAAAGGCTCTAACAAAAGGCAAGGAAGAACCCAGTAATTCAATTCCTGGGTATTTACCCAAAGAAACCCAAAACACTACCATAAACATCCATATGTTTATGTCAGCATTATTTACAATAGCCAAGAAATGGAGGCATCAATGGAAGAGGTGGTACATATATGCAGTGGAATATATTTTACTCAGCCATAAAAAATAATAAAATCTTGTCATCTGCAACAACATAGATGGGCCTAAAGGGTATTGTGCTGAATATAAGAGAGAAAGATAAATGCCATATGATTTCACTTACATGTGGAATCTAAAGACAAAACAGAAACTCATGATGTAGAGAACATTTTGATGGTTGCCAAATGGTAAAGGGGCTAGGGGAAGAGATTAAGAAGTTCAAATTGATATTTACATAATAGTCATGGGGATGTAAAATGTAGAATAAGTCAATATAGTTAATAATATTGTAAAAATATAGTGCCAGTTGGGTAGTAGATTTATCACAGTGATTCATAAATTATATGAATGTCTAATCACTATATTACACCTACAACTAACATAACATTGTATGCCAATTGTAATTGAAAAATAAATATATTTTTTAAAAGTCTATGGTAAACAATGCTAAATTAACACTAGTGTGTTTTTTGAAGAGAAAACATTGTACTACTACTAATAGTTCTTGTCCTGCAACTGGCTGTCTTGGTTGCTGGAAGAAAGGAAAGCCTTAGGTTATTAATTATTTTTATAACAGGGAATCTACTATAGTTAACCTCCAAAATAATGAGATGTGACTAAAAATATTAGATCCAGTTGCTTACAAATGAAACACTTCTTCATGAAACTACAAATTATCCAGGAACATGGTGATTTGAATCAAAGATAATGCCTAGCTATTCTGTAGCTACATGAGACCATAAAATAGGTAAGTGTACTCCAAAAACCTGAGAAATCTGACAGTAAATTTGGTATCCCTGAAGCACTCCATTAGTCTGGATGCTCAGCTAGCAAAACCTATTCAATTAAGCCTTTTGGTTTAGTGGTGGGAAGGCAGAAAAGCAACAAGAAATCTTTCATTCTGATTGAGCCCATTTCAGTGGTGGAAAAACATTCCAGACTGTGAATGCCCCTCAGTACGCTTTTGGTAATATTTTGTAAAATTCCTATTGTGCAATAGAAACTTCGGGTTTAGCATGGTATTTCATTTGGTTGAGTATTTAGCATTACTGCCACCTTTCGCTTTCTCATTGATAATGTACATTTTCTGACTTCTAAGATGACTTCTTGTTGAATGTCCTTGGAAGTCTATACTCTGAGAGCCCAGTTTAATTTAGCCCTTGGTACAATTCGCTGAGGTAAGGAATTGGCATGTAATTGTTACTTTTAAGCTGATTTATAAATTTTCGATAAAGCACCTCCAAAAGAGATAGGTGGCTGAAGCCAGCGGTGCTGGGAAAGATATTAAAGGCATAAATGGAGTCCAGCTGTAGTCCAGTGCACACTGAATATGGCAGTGGTAGAATAAACCTTCCTCGAACACTTGGGACCTTCATTAGCTCATCATCATGGAAATAAGGATAATCTGAGTAAGGTGATGACCTCCACTAATAAACTGAGGACGTTAATTCCTTGAATTAAAGTTTTAAGACAAGAAAAAAATTTTTTTTCTTGTCTTAAAACCTGACTAATGTTAGTTTCAAGAACACTTAACACTAAGCGAAAATGGGGAGAAAAAAGGAAAAGAGAAGGAAAAAAAATGCTTTCCTGTCTTCCTGATTGGGACAATAAGAGTATACAATTGGATTTTTTTTTTTTTTTTTTATGGTATTAACCTCTTTGTTAAATAAGAACAGTCGTAGTAACTAACTGAAAACTTTGGAAAGTTTGGTTAAGTACTTTATTAGTATGAAAGTCAATCAGATTTGTATTCACAATTGCTGCTCTGGCCATTTTCATAATGAATCTTGTCCATTTTGACAAATGTTGCAAATGTTTTCCTTTAGAAATTGAAAGGCACAGCCATACGAGAGGAGGCTGCAAACATTTCTTTCACCTTTTCACTAAGGTTTTCAAAGCACTCTGCAAACTCAACAAAATTCAAATATTTGAATTGTTGAAGGCAAAGGTAAAAATAGAATTTCAAATCAGTATATCCTTGTGGGTTTTGTTGTTGCTTCAGAAATTATCTTGTGACTTACCTGAAAATATATGAAGTCTGTGCTGTCCAATATCAAGAGGAATTGGATTGGTAAGAATTAAACATATAAAGGTGATATCTAACCTCATAATTCCATGCCATACTACTTAATCTTTTACCACAGCAGTAAAAGGTAGAAAACAAATTGCAATTTTGTTCTTTTCTCATGTCCTCCCTTCAGCATAACACAGAAATTCAACGAGAAAGAAGTGCTCTCGGCGATTAAAAAAACCCACCCACCCATTTCTTCTTTAGAATGGCTAATGTTTCTTCCTAACACTTCAGAAAAACATTTTGGACACTAGGCCGGAGCCACAGCGACCAGGATTTGGCTGTCAAATGCCCACAACTGAGGCTAGTGGTCTTTGGGTCTGAGCAGACACAGGGTGGCAGCACCGCCTCACAGGCCAAGCCAAATTTCCTGCTTTTCGGGATCTGATTCTTATTTCTCTACCTCTTAACTCTAAGGACACGCATCACGTCATGCCCCGTTGGCTTTAAAATTAACTTTTAAGTAGACAGACTGAATAACTGGCGCCAGGATTTAAAAAAATATATTACTTAATTGATTTATATAGTCTAAAAACTTGAACATGCTACTCCGGTAAGCGAAGAGTGGGAGTCACGCACTTCCGCACCTCGGGTAACCTAACTTCGGCGTTGAGCTCTTCCCCACGTCATGTGATGACCGCTTCTCCGCCACCTGACCTCACATTCCATCGAAGACCGGGTTCATCGTCAATTTAGTAAAATACAGTGGTTTAAAGACCAACTTTGAAAAGAAAGTAAAGCGCTCTTTGTAATTTTGAGGCCTTCCCTTTTGTCTTCGGGAGTCCTAGGATGGCTATATTTTCCCTCAAATGTCTTAAAATATTTTTAATTTAAGCATTTCCCCCTCTCTTGAAATGGTTTCCTCCAATAGGCCCTGCGGTGCGGATTGAACCATTCGGTACTTCTCAGTGGGGGGGCGCGAGCTAGGGGCGGCGGAAGAGGAAGGTGTCGGGCAGCTGCTTCAGGTTTCCTGTTAGAGTTGCCAGTCTCACGCGATCTTCTTGGGTGTGCGGAACCTGGCGAGGATCCGCTCGCTTCGTGGTGTAGGGGTACGCTTGGACGGCCCGTGCGACCCCTCCTCGGGCTAGGAGGATGGTACGGCTTGGCCGAGTCACGCGCCTCAGGCCCCGCGCTGCGGCTTTTGAGCGACCAGGGTAAGGGTGGCCACGGTACTGTGCAGAGCTGGGTGGCAGTTGGCCGAATTGAGGCTTCTCAGCAAACAGTGGGGAACCGGGGCTCGCGAGGAGCAAGCCAGTGTTCATCCGGGCTGGGCGCGGGGGCCGACGAATTCGAGGAAGGGCGCAGGGCGGACTGCAGGAGGAAGACGCGTTGTCAGGTTCGCAGCAGCCCCGACTGCCGGACCTGGGCTAGGTGCTTTCTCCGCCCGACCGAATTTAGCTTTGCTGGCGGCCCCTGAGCTCGGTGTTAGTGCAGGCCACACTTGGTCCGTGCGGGACAGAGGTCCAGAGCGCCGAAGTGGCTTGCCCGGTTAGACCGAAGCGGGTCTGGGACCAGAACCGGGCCTATCTGGCTGCTTTGTGGAGGTGTAAAGGGCGCCAGGGTTCGGGCGAAGGGCCGAGAGGGGGACGGGTGGTGGAGGCTGGAGAAAGTCGCTTGAGGCATGTCTGGGCCGGGGAAGGGGATTGGGCTCCGGTGGCGAGGTCGGGACCTGATAGCCTTCGGGTTAGCTGAGAGGCACAACTTAGTTTTGAGTTGGTGTGGAGTGGGTTGGTTAGAGATCGGCCAGAGAGGAAGGGGATGCTGAGAACCTGAGATGTGGAGAGAGGGTGGGGTGAGGGGCACATTTGTAAACTCTAAAGGGATAAGAAATGTGACCTGGGTTCAAACCCGTCAGCATTGTTGTTTTATTCTCCTTTAACGTTGCTGTGAGACTGTATTCTTTGCCTCTTCACTGCCTTCCCGTTTTTGCCTCATTTCTGGTTTAGGGGAGAGAGTGCGTGTCATAATTCCTTCTTTCCCAGGCGGCATTCTGAGGGGCGCCCTCTGATGAGCATGTGGGCCTAGATCAGTGTCCTCCAGGGAGGGTTGAAGACATTTCTCTCCAATTTGATGTGTATTGTCAGACACGTCCTTATTACCTGGAAAGAATGTTTAGCTCAGAGATTGGTTCATTGTGGATTGAGGTCCACGGAGGTAAGCAACCATGCGAGGCAGAGGGCAAGGAGATATTGCTGAAAGGAGGTACTGGTTCTCCAGCTCTTGGACACCTGGCACCAGCTGTGGAGTCCATCTAGGTTACCAGTATCATCAAATAACAGTAATAGTGGCTCGTGACACTGTTTGCCCTTCCGGTGTTATACATCAGGGAGCGCTATAAAGAAATCCAGGTGAAATGAATAGAAATAGTAGAGCCACCATGTGAATGGGTCTGAGCAGGAAGTAATCCCCTGTGGAACTTTTCACCTTGCACTTGGTGGGATCTCAACACTTGACTTAATGAGGCTCCCCTGTGGGAGACTACTTAAAGAAGCTGTGGGGGATTCTGATGCTGACCACTGGTTAAGAGCCATTCTGATACCATATTTATTTACAAAGTGTTCATACTTAGCAACCTCTCAAGAGTCCTATGAGAAGACCACAAGAAGTGGAGATGAAATGGACTCAGGGCCAGGGCACACCACACCACAGGAGTGGGAGGATAAATACGAAGTCACTGTCCAGGTCATGCACAGCCACTGTGGAAAGGAGATGTGGACAAGTATCCTACCTCTTCGATGTACTTGACTACTTGCTTTGAGTATAATGTTGCAGAGACTTTTGGGCGGGGGAAGATATCAGCTCTTTCTTGGATTCTGGAAAGTTTGTTGGAAGGAAAGAAACTGTTAGGCATACTCAGATCAGATTATTTTTTCAGCAAACATCTGGCAGAGATTGGAATAAGAGAGTGAATAAAGAACTGACCTCATGCTGCCCCAAATTCTGATTCCACATGTAGTGGTTAACTCTGAGAGAGAAATAGGGTTTGGCCTTCTGTTTCTCAGCTTTAAGGTGGTGCTTAGAAAAAATAAGTAACCTATTTGACATTACGTGGCTAGTAAGGGCTAGAGACAGACTTTTTTCTGACCCAGGTCTGTGTGACTCTTGAGCTAGTGTTGTTTAGGGTACCTCACTGCCTTCCAGTGGCTACCAGCCTTATAACCAACAGTAGAACAGATAAGGACTTTTAAGTTTATATTTTACAAAGATCTTTAAATATTTCTGTTTCAAGAGATCCTTTATGAAATACTGCTGTAGAGGTGTAAACTTCAGCCAAGGCTTTGTCTGCAATGTCAGTTTGCTGTTAGCTACTGCTCAATAGGCAGGGGCCAGCTAAGTCATTCAGAACCACTGAAGTCCCCAAGTCTCTTTTTTGTGTTCTAATTTGAGCTTGGCTGTAAGCTGCTTGAACTTTTTTAATGCCACAAAGTCCATTGCTCTTAGAATTAGCTCTGATTTTTTTTTTTTCTTTACCCAGAAAATATCAGGTTTTAGAGCTGAAGTATGACTGCCATTGTCCTACCCGACTCATTTGGAAATGCCCTTGCATGCTTTTGTGTAGGCAGGATGGTGGACATGTGATTCTGCTAAGTATTAAGGTTCATATTAATTCTCTACAGATGGAATAGATGTGGAACCTTAGCCAAGTGTGCTTTCACGTGAGTGTCTTGCTGAAAAGAATCTTTATTTCTCTTATTCTTCTCAAAGGAAGACGTGGCTTCCTTTTCCAGAGTTAACTCCTCTGCCTTTAGTTTGGGTCCCAATGCATCTTTCTCTAAAGTTCTTATTCCATTTTCTAGTGCATTTTCAACCCATTATTTTCCTTGACCTCACTGTAGTGAGCCCTGTGGAACTTTTATTTAAATTCAATTTATTTGGTTCCCATGACACTAGGCTCTTGGATTCTGGCATTCCCCATGGTTGTGCTCCGGAACCTTTCCTGCTCATAGGAGCCTTTGATGAACAACTCACTTTCTCTGGCAATAACTGTCATCTCTCTGGGCAGCTTCTAAATTCACTCATTTATTCAACACTTATTAACGTGGTGCTTACCATGTGTCAGGAACTAAGGTAGACAAGAAAAAGCCTCCCCCTTAGGGAATGTTCATTCCAGTAAAATAAAACGGGGGAGGGGAGAGAGTAATGGGGTTGGAGGTAAGAGGTGAGCAGCTGTTCTTAATCAGCAGCCTGATTAGCCGAGGCCTCTCCTAGTAGGGGACACACAAGGAGAAGATGAATGATGAGGAGGAGTGAACCAGGCAAAGGTTGTAGGGAGTGTTGGGGACTTTTCTCTCCAGCCCTGCCTTTTTTGATGCTGTAGTCCAGAATCAGAGAAGACTCTCAAGGCTTTCCACCTAATGTCCTCTTATTTCTTAAACTGTCTCCTTTCCCGCTGCCAACTTCCCTCCTGAATCAACTTTTATCCTGGTGCTTCATATTTTCTAGCCACCCTAGTGTCGCCATGTCTGATCTCCAGACCTGACTTGGTGTCAGCTCATCTGACTTTCTCTTTAGATGTTTTGTTTTGAGTTGGCCCCTACCACTCCCACCATAACAACTTGAACTCCAGCCCCTGCCTCAGGTAGAAGGATGGGTGCAGTGGCAGCCCACATAAGCTGAGGGGTTCATTGTGAAGCATCAGGTGGGTGGCAGAAGTAGCAAGCAGACTAGAGAAGCAGGCCCTGAGCAGGGAACACCAGCAGGGAGGCTACTTGGAGGGCACATCCAGGGACACACCACAAGTGGTTTTTGAGGATGTGGCTCCGTAGGATGCACTCCCTCAGGGGACTCCCACCCCTACTGTGCATATTCACAGTCTGCTGCTTTGCCTCCCTCCTCTAGGTTCAGTGTCCCAGGCAGGGCCTCTGACTGGCCAAGTTATGGTCATGCCCATGCCTACCTACTAGAGGATGAGTACAGAGGATGTCTGACGTTTCCCTCTGTGATGGGGGATGGGATCCCCACAAGAGAAGAGAGTGTAGAACCTGGCCAGTGTTCACAACTCAGTCAAACATTCAAAACTTAAATGGTTTCTCACTGTTTTGAGCAAGGCTGTCTGAGAGAATTTTTCTATGATGATAGAAATGCTCCATGATCTACACTGTCCTTTCAAAATGGTGGCTGTGAGCCACATCTGCCTAGCGAACACATGAAAAGTGGCTAGTGAGAGGAACAGGGCTTTAACAGGGCTTTTCATTTTAATTAAATCTAAGTTGCCACATTTGCCTCACGGGTACTGTATTGGACAGCGTGGGTCTGGAGAATACATTTTCCCTCTTTAGCCTGGTTTCCAGGCCCTTCTGTGTCACATGAGTCTGGTAAGCTGGGCCACCACTGTCCAACCTCTATGGCTTTGCTCCTGTGTTCTCATTTCCAGACCTCTTCTGTTTGTCAGTCCAGTGGACGTGCTCCCACATTTAAAGCCTTGCCCAATTTTCCCAACCAGAGGGCACTTGTGTCTGCATCCACATCCCTTACTCTCCCTTACAGTGGACAATCTACCAGACTTGCTGCCGAAGCCCAGCTCTCAGCTTGGGAAAGCTGCCTCTTCTTATAATTTGCATTTTGTTCTCTTGGTCTCTGGAGTAACACTGGAGTTCACCTTTCTGCCTGTCATTCTCTTACCCTGGCCAGCTCTTCCTCCCCTTCATATTTAAACTCTGGGGGCCCCTACCGGAGGGGCCACCTCACTCAGCTACCTCCATATTCCATCATCTTCACTCAAAGGCTTAACAGGCATTGGGCTCTCAGCCTCCTCCTCACTTGTTCCTTCTTCTATCTTTCACATTCCTTCCTTACTGGTCCAAATAGCTTTGTTCCCTTCTTCACACTCCACAGTCCACCCATGAGCAGAGTCTGCTGGCTCTGCTTTGGGAATATAGTCACAATCTAACTATCTTTAACACCTTCCACTGCTCACCTAGCTGTGTCCACCATCTCATCTCACATGAAATAGTGGGAATGTTACAACTAGTCTCCCTGCTTATATCCTGGCTTTGGAAGTCTGTTTTCTGCACAGCAGCCAGAATGATGCTTTGAAAATAAGATTCAAATGTATCATGTTTCTCAAATCAGAACCCACCAAAGGCTCTCTAATTTCTAAAAACAAATCAGGGTCTTACCATGGCCGAGAAGGGTCTGCCTCCTCCTAGTTTCCTGCCCTCATTCCCCAATTCTGTGAACACTCAGATCCCCAATCGTGCCCCCTGCTTGGCCCCCCATGGCTCCCTCTGTTCCTTCAGTTCTTGATTGGGGAGCCTTTCTGTCTGAAATCGCATCCCACCTCCTCTGGTGATTCTCTGCCCTGGACCATCTGTACTTTTATTTCTAATGCCATCACCCCATAAGAGTAAGCAGTTACTCATGTGTCCCTCCCCTCCTAGAAGGTAAGCACCAGGCAGGCAGCATCACATTACCTAAAACATTGTCCACCTCATAGGAGGTGCTCAACAGCTAGTGGTGGCATTTGCTGCATCATCACTCGTGCACGTCTTCCCCTCTGTCTACCCTGTAGGCCTCTCACTGTTCTAACGGAAGGGTTTTCTTTGTGATCATTGAATTACGTTTTTCTTCTTTCGTTGTCATTCTTCATAGGCAGGGACCGTGTCTGTCTGTCTGTCTGTCTGTCTGTCTGTCTGTCTGTCTTATTTCTCCTGCATTCAGTGCAGTGCTGGCACAGAGTCAGTGCTCAGCCAAGTTTGCCTGGTGGGTGACCCACCTCTCCTGGATGGGAAACCCACTGACAACACCTACCTAGTCCCTATGCGCCAGGGACTGACAGGTTCTGTAGTGTGAACATGCATTGGCCAGTTGATGGTATTTTCCCTCCCCCCTCCACAGGCCTCGTGCTATCTCCAAGGCACCATGAATGCCATCGTTGCTCTCTGTCACTTCTGTGAGCTCCATGGCCCCCGCACTCTCTTTTGTACTGAAGTTCTGCATGCCCCTCTTCCAAAAGGGGCTGGGAATGGGGACAGCCCTGGCCAAGGGGAACAGGCCGAGGAGGAGGAAGGTGGCATTCAGATGAGCAGTCGGATCCGTACTCACAGCCCAGCAGAAGGAGCCAGTGCAGAATCCAGCAGCCCAGGACCTAAAAAGTCAGACATGTGTGAGGCAAGTGTTTCTCAGGTGTGGGGATGTTTCTTCAGGGGCTTGTGTTAGTGCTTGTGTGTGGGACCTCCTGGGGGAGGACATCAGGGGTGGTGGTGGATTCTTGTTCATACCAATGCTGACGTCTGAGGCCTCCTCCTGAGGCCCACTTGCAAGCTCCTGCCAAGTGGTTATGTCAGGACCAACCAAGAACAGATGCCAGCACAGAGCACTATGTGAGCCACTTAACAGCTATAATCCTCAGCTTGCCTTCTGTATGATGGGGATTCGCACTATAATTATCTCATAGGGATGAGCTTTGTATTAAATGAGATAATGTACGCCGAGCTTTTCATAATATCTGCTACACAAGTGCTCAGTCGAGTAGATTTCATACTCTCTGACAACCTTTGTGATCTTTGCATCCTGGTTATCCTATTCAGGAAACATTGAAATTCTCGGATAAGTATAACTCTACAAGCCATTTATTTTTATATAAAAACATTGAGTTTTCTATTTCAAATTTGCGTAAGAATAAGATAGTGTGTTGCTGCTTCCTGACTAACTGGTTTTCTTTTCCTTCTTGTGGGCAGGGCTGCCGGTCACTTGCTGCAGGGCATCCCGGGTATATCAGTCATGATAAAGAGACTTCAATTAAATATGTCAGTCACCAGCACCCCAACCACCCCCAGCTTTTCAGCATTGTCCGCCAGGCTTGTGTGCGGAGCCTGAGCTGTGAGGTGAGCACCGATGATGTAGGCAGAGAGGCAGCTGTCTCTGTAGAGATCTCACACTCTCCACAGTGCCCTGAACAGGTTCAGTGTTGGCTATGGAAAGGAAGACAGAAGTCAGTCCTGTCATGAGGAGGATGAGTAGATCAGTGAGCAGGGAGCACAGGGGGGCCTCTGTTCTCCAGAACTCCAAAACACATTATGTTAGATTCGAATTTTCTAAATGGTTGCTAGCTTATCACTTTAAGCACCAAACCTTTGTTATTTGTCTATTCCTCATGGACATGTTTCTAAAATAGGGAATATTTCTGAGATATGTAGTTTATCATATCAAACATCACCTTTTTTATTTTCTCAATCATCATGTGCTCTTAGACCCTACTAAAGAATGAATCCATTTGTTTCTAAATTCCATGGTTGCTGTTGTTGAATTTGAGTCTTAGCTTTTATGTTTTTATTTGTCACAAAGAATTCATAATCCAGTTACTGAAACTTCCTGTCATATCCACTTGGTCAGACACACCTAGCTCTCTCATCTTTAGGTCTCACTTATTGTTGTGTGCC